CAACCAGGAGGGCCAGTAATGCAGTATGAATTGCTCTGAAGTATGTTTCATTGTTTGTACTGTGTGGGTTTGCATGTTCTGAGCAATGACTGCGAGGTCAAGTCTATCTCATACCTTACACACGCGCGCGCACACGCACGCACGCACGCACGCACGCTCGCACGCACGCCTGCACGCACGCACACACATATCAAGAGCGTACAACGGTGAAATGCTGAAACCATGTTGCAGTATTAGTCGAATTAATAAACTTTCCCTGTTATATTTTGACGATTCTTTGCAGTATTATTGATCAGCTCTCCTACCTTGCTAATATAAAACAAACCGCTTGTCCCTATGATGCCCCTATGCTGATATAATGAGCGGTGAAAATCTGGTATATTTGCCGAAAACCGACTCCAGATGAGTCAGTACTGCGACTGTCGATCTCTCGTTCTGGTGATAGCTTTGGGAAACCTCGCGTGTTTCCGCCATTCATTGACAATGAAATTTATTTTCCTTCTACCATCTTTTCTCGAATTTCCAGTCATTGACGCAGCCATTACGCCACAAAAACGTCTTGTTATTTATTGCCATGGTGATGACTTAACGCTGGATGTAGTAATGCTGTAGTAATAACGTATCGAGTCAGCGCTACACAGCAGCGACCGGAAGCAACATACAGTGCACAAAACGAGAGACAGTCGCAGTACCGACTGATCTGGAGTCGGTTTTCGGCGAAAATACCAGATTTTCAGCGCTCACTATCTCAGCGTAGAGGCATCGTTGGGACATGCGGTTTGTTTTATATTAACAAGGTAGGACAGCTGATCAATAATAAAGAATCGTCAAAATAAAACACGGTAAGTTAATTAATTCGACTAATACTGCAACATAGTTTCAGCATTTGACCGGTGTACGCTCTCCTTCTTTATACGCTCTTGATTATATATATCAGGGTGCTAAAAAAAAAAATTTCCACTTCCCCATGGTTGCCCGGAGGCAAAAGTCACTTGCCCGAAAAACATAAAGAAATACATAAGGTTGTTTTTTCTAATATGAATTTAAATGAATAATAACGTAAATGAAGGTCCAACTAGTCAACATCCAGCATTTCACTTAACGGCACGGTAGAAAGTTGAACAGCTGATACGAGTTTGTATACGAAATATATTCATGTTGGGACACAGCACGCAGTTTGTTAAAATTTTAAAAATGTTCAAGTGTCAGTTTATTATCAAAAACCCACCACTTTTTTAAAAAAAATAAAATATGTTCAGGTTTATTTGGGGCTGGATCGTAAGCGCGGAGAATATAGCGGTGCATGCATGCAGATATTGTATGATATGTAGATGCATAGATGCATAATAGACTGACAGCACAGTATACAGTTTATCTGTTTTTGTGTACTTCAGCAAAGAAAATCCTCGTTCACAGGTTGCAGTAGAGGGGCAAACATTTGAGGTTTGTGATTTACGCTGATCACGTAATGACCATGCCTGGCCTTGGGGGCCGGGTTTACATGTTGCTGTGTGCATGTTGTGTATATCACTGTATCCACCGATTGTTTCATTCGCATTGTTTTTTTTCATTCAAATCTTGTCGCAGCATGGCAGCGCGATGTTGTGTCTGTGCAAAACAATGCAAGGGATGGGTGGAAACAGAAAAATATCATTAGGCGTGTTCACACACAAGAAAAACCGCGATACTAATCGCGATGGAAATACCGAGATAATTGTGTCGTTGTTCACACAGGCGGAAATATCTCGCTAATCGCCGAACAGGATAATTCTATTAATCGAACTGCACATGCTCACTGCCGGAATGATGCGCACTGCGCATGCTCACTGCTCACTCGCTTGGAATGATGGGATAGAAAATACCGGGATTATTTGAGCGAGCATTCACACACGCAAATAATCGCGCTAATTCCAAATAATCGCAGTCAAAAGTGCGATTTGGAGCGCGATGCTGATCGCGATTATTAGTGAGATTATTGCATTCACACTTGTAATAATCTCGGTATTTCGATCGCGATGCAAAAACCGGGATTTGCATCCCGCTAATTCGCGCCAGTGTGAACGCGCCTATTATGTCTACACATTCAATGAAAAAAAATGGGCAAGTGCAATTTCAAGCTACTTGCCCAGGGGCGAATTTTGGTTGCCCCGGGCAAGCGGCAAGCGGGTTTGTCGTGCCCTGTATATATATATATATATATATATGTCTAAGCGGGATACCCGGCGTTGCCCGGGGAAAGCAGTGACGTTACTGAGTTGGTGACTGCTTGGTTAAAAGGAAAATACCCAAAAAAATCGAACTATCTATCTATCCATGCATCCATCCATCCATCCCATTACATGCCATCCCATCCCGTCTCATGACATGCCATGCCATGCCATGCCATGCCATCCTATCGCACCGCATCCCATCCCATCCCATGCCATCGCATGCCATCCCATTCCATCCCAAACAGTAAAAAATAATAAGAAATCAAAAGATAAAAAACATAAAATATAAAAAAGTAAAAAGTAAAAAATTGAAAATAATACATGTATACTAAAGAGGTAGGTAAAGAGAAAAAAGGGGAAAATAAGTTCCCCAGCTGGGACTCGAACCCGGAGTCCCGGTGTAGGAGTCGGATGTTCTAGCGATTAGGCCACTGCGCCATTAAGGGTATACCCATGGATTCACACGTACGTGATGTTAATCTGTACGCACCGCCATGTGTAATCCTACCAAATCACCCTTACGATTTGGTAAAACGTAATTTACCCAGAGATATCTGGTCAATTCCTGCAGAAAACTCGCACTCCATGGCAATGTAAATGGAAGCAATTAAGTACCTTTTTATTATTCGAAACTTTCTAACCACGCTACTCGTTTGTTTGGGCAATGAATGAAGTGGCGTGTACAACAGCACTTCTAGATCTACGCGAATCATGCTGGCTTGGTTGGAAAGCGCGTGGCTGAGCTCATGAAGCTCGGAAGCAGGGCGCACTAGTTAGAGCGCAGAATGCAATGCGTCGCCATTACTCGTGTATAAATAAGCAGTTGCTCCGATTTACATTGCCGTGGAGTCGGGAGTTTTCCACAGGAATTTACTAGAATTCTCTGGATAAACTGTTCTATGCAAGCGCAAGGGCGATAATTCGAACAAAGGAACGTTCGGCTACGCATATATACCAATATGCAGGCGGTTGTTTGTGTATTTTTGCTGTGGTGGTGTGAAACGAATCGAGCGTTGTGCGAATTTGGTGCTCACGTTTTCCTGCCTGCCCCTATCTTTCTGTGAGTTTGTGCACAGTGGCGTGCATCTGGTGAAATTGTGAGTTGCAGAGGAGCATCTGAACTGCATTTATGGGACATCATTACCAATTATAGGCGAAATAGAATGGAGAAACATTAACAGTTTGGTAGTAAATACACTTAATGTTTATTTACCATCATTTTATTAATGAAACCTTCCAAGTGCTTCTGGTGTAAGGGGGCAAACTTGATCTTGCAGTCAGCTAGTGGTTTAGAGGTACGACTCGAATTGAAGAATTATTGAAACTGGTATATATATGTTTTCAGGCTTCTCCCTACGTTGCGCAAACCGGGCGCGCCCGCCCCGTTTGGGAAAACTCCCCCCCTCCCCTCGCCCGCGTTTCCAATCGTTGCGCCACGTTTTAAATTATTTCCTGCCCCAATTAAAAAACAATTATTAATTATTTTTTTTTTTATTAATGGGAATGCTACATGAGGAAACGGCCGAGTGAGTCAGCTTTGAGCGCTGCTGCTACTGCACATGAGGGCCACCTCGCAGCAATTCCCCATTCGACTCGCGCAGCTGGGCAAGCAAGAAAGCAAGTCCCACCTGGGCAGCACAGCAGCACACACGATCTCATTGACTATATATATACAAGCGTTATATATATAAGTTTTTACGTTGTTATAGCCCGCCGTACGCTATAGTTGTTATAGTAAGTTATATATAACTATAATATAATGGTTGTTTAATATTATATTCAATAGATGCGTTGTGTTGTAGCTGCAGGTGCGGACTGTCTTGCTGCCAAAAGCTCGATTCGACCATAGGCCCACCGACCCCCTAGTTCCCTTCCCCTCCCCACCCTCTCCTTCCCCCTCCCCTCCCCCTGTTTCAATTTCATCTTGTGGGAGAAGCCCTGGACTATTTAATTGACTTAACAGGGACAGTAGCCTCTAGGATTTTTTCTGCATACAACTGTAACTTTACTGTATACACACATGTCTATCACCACACGTATTGTTAGCCAGATTTACCTAATTAATTGTTTATATAATTAATCAGACTCAACGTCTACGAAATTGAACCGGCGCCATGACACCCACGGACCGTGCCTGCCACCCCGAAAAAAGTTGCGTATTTGACAATTTATATTGCAGACGTTACAGACGCGACGGCTAATCACAAAAGTAGCATTATATTATACGCTAAATGCTTTATTTAACCGAACGATATTCATTTTTAGGCAACATTTATCCATAGTATCAACTGAACTATATGTCGTTTATGAAGGATGATTAGCAATCCTTTTGCTTTTTAAATGAATAATAAGAGAAACACACTCGTCTCGTAGGCCCTTGCCTGAAGTGATTTTGCGTCAACTTATCAGATGTGACGCTTTGAGTGGCGCCACCGTCGCTGCTACATCAAAACTGTAGTCGTTAGTTTTAAACATTAAAAAAAAAAATTTCTAATGGTGATTGAACCATGAAACTTTTTATGTAGCGTAATTATAACCTAAATTAGCTGAAAATAACCCTAGAACCTAGAGTAAACTCTCCCTTTAAGAGTAGGTAATAACATGTTATTATTTACTGTTGCTTACATGTATAATTAAGCTTTTCAAACGAAATAAAGTGTGTCTAGCTAGTTATTGGTCTTCAGAGTTACCAGGTAATAAGTTTTAATTACAAAAATAATCACAATTTATATAATATTTAATCTAAATAGATGTAGAATGCTGCCTGCTTTATTATCTATACTTACATACATTTTAAATTGGCTCATAAATATATTTTATAATGAATCTTCATGTAAACATAGTATTCATGTGAAATTACATGTGCACTTGCAGTGTTTTACATCTGTGGTAGCTGTGCGCCATTAGGATCTGGTGTTTTTTTTAAGCAAATCGCTCATTGTTGAGACATCTGGCGCACATGCAATTGTTACTGCATCCTTGAATCTTTCTCGCAGTGGTTTCCTAAATGTAAAGCCTGCGCCCAAGCCTGGGTGATTTCAGTGAGCACTGGTGCATGCGTGTGTCGGGTGATTACCTATGTGAGCTGCCTTAGTTATTACAGTTCCCACCTGGATGCTAGTGTGGCATGCAGGGTAATAAATACACGGGAGCGATGAGCAATTCGCTCTTCAAACTTCCGAAATCGCTCCCGTGATGCTCGAAATAGCTCCCGTAAAATTTTTGACGAAAGCTATTTTCCCCACAAACTTGAAAAAGAGCTGTGAAAAAAAGTAAATTTCTCCCTGGTGGCATGCATTATGATTTGCTGCTAGAATCAACACATGTACAAGTTGCGTATAACATATCCTCCTGTTGCTGCAGTTGTAACTCCATTGTCCCTGGTTTATATACTGCTTTCTCCTATGCTAATTAATGAGCAGCTAGCAGGGTTAGTACTTGCTTGCTGCCAGAGAAAAGGGCAGGCAGCAAATTTACTCACCCAGGCAGAATCTTTGCTGCTTTTACTATGGTTTATAAGGAAATTCTTGGCAGCAAGTATTTGCTGCCGACATTGAGAGCAGCCAGCAAATTAACCCTTGTAAGCAGCAAAACTGCTGCTTGCTGCCCTTAATGTCGAACCTTGAGCTAGGATTACTGCCTTTATATGACCTGGTCGATAATGGTGACCCTGCTACAGGTCAGCAAGTCTTAGTTGGTTTAACCTATATTGTGTTAACTATGTAGCTTCACAGAGTGGTTATAAATGAGAAGTGGGTGGGGGGCAAGATGGGTCTTCTGTAGTTTTGTATTATTTGTACATCATACCATGGGTGAACCATACTTATTACACAGAATAAAATTCTAGCTTACAACATTAATTTGGTTGACCTTAATCAATGCATTTAGCAAATTGCCATCCATCACAGTCAACTATCATTACACAAGAAGAAGGGTGCAAATTCTCCCTCTACAATGTTTATTAATGCGTTCATATGTTTACTTCCATTTATCATTTTGCCTTCACAAGTTTAAAGTTTTTATCGTCAATTAATTCATAGTTGAACGTCTTAAAAGACATTAAATGTGTAAAAATCATTTCCAGACTAAATCTGTAGATAGCAGACTTTACTGCAGGTAATGGCTTGACTGCACCAAGCTTGGCTAGATCCGCCAAGTATTCCTCTAAAAGGTCAGCATTCACCTTATGAGCATATGACTTCTTCCAACCAATCGCAAACCTCTTCTTCAGCTCGGCCTCCTCTTCAGCTAGCATCTGATCTTTCGTGGGCAGTTTTACCGTTCCTTCTAATACCGCAAGTGCAAACAGCACCTGGTAGTGGAATATGATCAGTGGCACCACATTCGTGGGCAAGCCAATGAGAAACATGGATGGATGCTGTATATTGATGCAGTGTTTGAACATGGGCGTTACGCGCGTCTTCTCCTCAACGACGACCCCGCACGCTGAGGAGAGGAATGGGTAGGTGTACTCGTAGCCAGTGCAGAAGAGCACGACATCAGCACGCCGTCGCGCCCCACCGATAAACACAACGGTGTCGCCCTCTAGCTGCTCAATCCCAGGCAACTGCTCGAGGTTGTCAGGCAATGGACAGACAAATGGTGTATTGTTGTGACTGAGCACAACGTGACTCGCTACAGTGGCGACCTCTAGTCCGATGTCGGTCCCGGAAGGACCAGCACCAAGGCACACCACCGTCTGGCCTTCGAAGACACTTGGCTCCCGGTAAGAGTGACTGTGGAGGATTTTGCCAGTGAAGGTGTCTGCACCAGGGAGGTCCGGCATCCGCGGCACGGAGTAGTGTCCGTTGCAGATGAACACGGCATCGTAAACGTGTTTCTCCTCCACATCCGTCTGTAGGTGGCGCACTGTTACCTCCCATTTCGCATTTGCCGTATTTCCCACCGGGACAACCTTTGTGACGACAGTAGAAAACTGTACATGATCCAGCACGTCATACTTTTGTGCGTAGTCGTCAAGGTAATCCTTAACATCCCAGTGACTCACATAGGATGGCAGGTCGGGGTTGAAGTCTGTATCAGGATAGCCCATTAGTTCCTTTGGGAAGTTGGTGCACAGGTACTTGTACATGCTTGAGTGAATGTTGAAGCCATGCTCGTCTTTCCCCGTCCTGTCGGTGTAGACCCAGGTTCCACCGATGCTTTCTGACAACTCGTAGACGACATGGTCAAAGATGTCATGTCTGGCAGCTAGGAATCGCGACGCACATATGCCGGCTGCTCCCGCCCCGATCACGGCCACACGTGTAATTGCCAGCATGCTGGATCCAATATGACTAGATTCTAGAGTATAATAGAATATGTCAAGAATAGATGGGATGAAAATGGTGTAATATTACTAGTTGAGACACAAGACTAACACTGTCTGAACTAAGAAAAACATTATGCTCATGTAACTTATAATTTTACAATTGGACCAGTAAGAGAATCAGCCATTTTAGTTATCAAGACGAGGATAAACAATAGAGAGAGTGAAAACTCATTTTGCACAAGTATATGTTCAAATAATCTAGTATCGTATATCTTACAACATCCATGGTTAATACAAACACATTGCCATCAATTGGTATAACTACAACATGGGTGTTGTAGGGTATAGCAATCATTGTATCATGTACATTAATTCATTCATTCAGCATGCCTACCTGTAGTAGATTTGCTTGGATTGTTCAACTAACAAAATATGGGCGGATGGTGGGCGTTGCACACGTATTATGGCTGATATAGGTGGCAGCATGAAGTTAATTTTAGTTCAACGTGGTGGAATAACTATTAGTTTTTACACATCTTTCATATAGTGTTCTGCAAATAGACTCACGGGGTTATTTGGGATACGATATCCTATCCTGTTGTGTCACTTGTGTTTTTAATAAAGACTGGCAGTGTTTGTAGTCCCTAGCAAACCATGAATGTATGAATGAGCAAGGGTGCATATAATAGCGTCAACAATAAAGCTCCTATGAAAGCATACTGTAGATGAAAGTTACCCTCTGTGTGAATGTCTCCTTACCCATTGTCCCCCTGAACCTACACCCAAGAACATGACATACCCAAAGATCCCCTAACGATAACGCTTACCGTGATTGGACCAAACAAAACGCAGGAAAATATGCAGCACTAGTTTAACGTGAGACGTAATACTAATAACATGAGCTGTGGCGCCTCTGCGTGGAAGTGCAAGTAAAGACGTAACTCGGGTTCAAAGGTTTAGTTATCATGCTAGTGTGGAGATTATGTGGGATTATGTGGATATTATTAGTGGGAGGATATGTAATAAACCAAACCACACTAACTGAATCTAACAGAAGGGAATTATATGGGCAGGATGATAAAATATATGATAAAGATCGTTGCAATATTATATAGCAAACACGGGGGCAGCCATCTTGGTTGTACAGGTAATGTGGAGGACAGGTAAAGGAGCAGGTAGGATTAATAATAAATGGTAAAATAATTTAAACTCACAAGAAATTTTAGTAGACAGAGAATATCCTGGCTTGCTATTAAATTAGCAACGACTAAAACTTCGTGTATAAAAAGTTCCCCAACAAGAGATACCAGTGCGATGCAGGAGGTAACACCGCCCAGGTGCAAGGCAGGGGATTGCACCACCCGTCTGCCAGGCATTCGGTCGGCCAAATATCGGCCAGCACCTGCCTCACGTGGGTGCATGGAGATATCCGTGTGCCAGTCAGGAGGCTACACCGCCAGAGGTCCCAAGTTGGGAAAATCCAAGAAAGGGAGCACTTGTGATAATGGTCCATCGCCGTTTTTTCGCAGTGCGCAAAAACAGGGAAAAAGTTGTGGCGGGCTGCGATATGTGTTTGTCGCGGCACACCACCATTTTTTACAAAGTATACATGTAAAATAAAATGCAAATTCATGTTAATTTATGGGTTCACATTTATTTATTATTATATGAGTATATTACACATTGCATCACATTAATGCTTGACATTTGTGGCCTTTTATTGTTCGCTGGAATCAAAGTACATCAACAACAACGGCAAATTTAGTAATTTACTGATGTAAATTTTCATATGGCTGAAAATTGTTACGACCGGGAGCTTCTGGACTCATTCCGGGGTGCAAATTTTTTTTTCCTACACATATCATTGCGCTTGATATGCGCATATCAACTTTCGCATCAGACTTTCCGTATATCAAGGAATGATGCAAAAATCCTAACCCTAACCCTAACCCTAACCCTAACCCTAAGCCCAACCCGAACCCGAACCCGAACCCTAACACTAACAATAAACCGAATCGGCTTATATACTATCTATGGTATCCCAAACACTATCTATGGTGTGGTCAAATCAAAGCAGCCAATCAGAGGAGCCCAATAGATATAACGTGTAGGATAAAAAAATTCGCTTCCGGGGCACCGGGAGCAGCGTGTAATATCGGGAGGATCCCGGTGAGACCGGGACACTTGGGACGTCTGCGCCGCCCAAGCACCGGCCAGCACCGGCCAGCACCTACGCCACTTGCGTGGAGTTGGGTGGTACTGCCAGCCAGCCTGCTATATCAGTCAGAGTCACGGTCCGCAAGTAAAGGGTCGGTTTTCGTCCATGAGGTCAGAAGAGCAACCAGTAATGGGCAATTAATTAGTAATTAGTAAGAGAATGGGCAGTTCGGCCACTAGTTAGTGAGTTTCTTGCCACAAGCTCTGTTGTGCAGCTACAACGACGAGAGGAACCAACGGGAAGGTATAACGAACAATAAATGGGGGTCCTGGTCACGATTCGAACACCGCTTCGACCTATTCGAGGAGCAACGCATCAATCAATACGAACGAGAAACGACATCAACAGACGATGAACGAACAGCGCATCGATTGTCGCCCGGGAGCTACAGGATCTTACGGCCTTCGTCCGGGAACTACAAGATTTTAGACATATAGATCGTAGATAAGATATACATATATGTTAGACGAATTGAAATAAATGTTAACGTATATAGATATTCTCAGCCTATGTTATTCTTATAACCGTAAATAAAAGTTATCCATTGTATGAATAAAGTTCAAGACTGTTTAATTTCACTCTGGTGTTTTTCTAGTTGCTGCATCGCTGTCCTGCCTTCACGGTGGGAGCGAAAAATGATCCAGAAACAAAATTAAATTTCACGTAATTCAGTGAGTGGCAAAACATGCAAAACTTATAACCCCATGCAGAACTTATAACCTTTCATAAAGTTTACCATGGCCAGGTGAAGATTGGCATACCCTCCTGCTTGATGATGCCTGTTCGTAGCGCTCAATCATCTGAGAGTGACTTGCTTTCGTGTGACACTTTTATGATTAATAATCAAGAGTTCAGCAGGAGAACGCACCAAACGCCAGGTGACAGTATTTCGTATCCGGTAACAGAGGATTGTCTGATTATATCCTGCGTATCGTGTCTTGATATTGTTAGTCTATCGGGTGACCATGCTGATCGCACGATGGTCATTGAGTCAAAGATCCTATCAGATTATTATACGATCTTTGATTGAGTCGTGTGGATCAGTGCTGTATTAACTGTTTGTACCGTTGCTGAGCAGTAGTTCGTACGTGAAAAATGGGATCGTGGCGACATGATGGGATATTTTGCAGTTGTGAATATAATTTGTACAGATATGAAGTATGATATCACACGGGTTAAAGCTCTTTAACAACATAATAATTTAAACAATATTAATTTAGTGCAGCTGCATCAATGCGTAGCAAATCTCAATCAACTCATCATCACACGAGAAGGATGCAAATTCCCCCTCTACTGACTTGTTTATGGTATAATTGATGCATTTAGGTACAGATAAACCTTTATTCACCCTTCTGCCTGGGCAAATTTAAATATTTCTTCGTCAAGCAATTCATAGGTGATCTTCTTGAAAGTCATTAAATTTGTAAAACACATTTCCAGGCTGAATCTGTAGAGAGAATTTTTTACTGCAGGAAATGGCTTGGTTTTACTGAGCTTAGCTAGATCGGCCAAGTATTCTTCCTGAAAATCGCCACCCATCTTGTGGGCATACGACCTCTTCCAACCCATCACGAGTCTCTTCTGCAGGTCAGCCTCTTCCTCAGCTAGCATCTGATCTTTCGTAGGCAGGGTCACCTTTCCCTCTAGCACGGCAAGTGCAAATAGTACCTGGTAGTGGAATATGACAAATGGCAACGACAGAATGGGCAGGCCAATGAAAAACATCGATGGGTGGTGTATGTTGATGCAGTGTTTGAACATGGGCGTTACACGCATCTTCTCCTCAACGACGACCCCGCACGCTGATGAGAGGAATGGGTAGGTGTACTCGTAGCCAGTGCAGAAGAGCACGACATCAGCACGCCGTCGCGCCCCACCGATAAACACAACGGTGTCACCCTCTAGCCGCTCAATCCCAGGCAACTGCTCGAGGTTGTCAGGCAACGGACAGACGAATGGTGTCTTGTTGTGACTGAGCACAACGTGACTCGCTACAGTGGCGACCTCTAGTCCGATGTCGGTCCCGGAAGGACCAGCACCAAGGCACACCACCGTCTGGCCTTCGAAGACACTTGGCTCCCGGTAAGAGTGACTGTGGAGGATTTTGCCAGTGAAGGTGTCTGCACCAGGGAGGTCCGGCATCCGCGGCACGGAGTAGTGTCCGTTGCAGATGAACACGGCATCGTAAACGTGTTTCTCCTCCACATCCGTCTGTAGGTGGCGCACTGTTACCTCCCATTTCGCATTTGCCGTATTTCCCACCGGGACAACCTTTGTGACGACAGTAGAAAACTGTACATGATCCAGCACGTCATACTTTTGTGCGTAGTCGTCAAGGTAATCCTTAACATCCCAGTGACTCGCATAGGATGGCAGGTCGGGGTTGAAGTCTGTATCAGGATAGCCCATTAGTTCCTTTGGGAAGTTGGTGCGCAAGTACTTGTACATGCTTGAGTGAATGTTGAAGCCATGCTCGTCTTTCCCCGTCCTGTCAGTGTAGACCCAGGTTCCACCGATGTTTTCTGACAACTCGTAGACGACATGGTCAAAGATGTCACGTCTGGCAGCTAGGAATCGCGACACACATATGCCGGCTGCTCCTGCCCCGATCACGGCCACACGTGTAATTGCCGGCATGCTGGATAGGTCTAGAATAGGTCGGATGTAATAATGGTGTAATAATTTACTTGAAATATAGTCTACACTAGCAAACTTAGCCCTGTCTACACTAGCAAACTTTAGTTTGCAAACTCGAGCAAACTCCGAGTTTGGCAAGAAAAGTTTTCCAAAGTTTGCCAGTGTAGACCAGTTGACAAACTTCGGCAAACTAGTTTGCAAAGTTTGCAGAAGTTAGGCCGTGCACCTTCTTGACAAACTAGTTTGCTCGAGTTTGCTGAGGTTTGGAATAACTCAGCCAATCAAATGACAGTTTGTAGTCATGTGATCCTGCAGATAGACAAACATTGGACATTGAACATTGGAATTCACAGTCAGTACCAGTAGTACCTGTCTGAACTAAGAAAAACGCTATGCTCATGTGACTTGTTATTTTACAATTGAACGAATATCTTGTAACGAATATTTTACAATTGAACGAGTCAGTCAGTCATTTTTTCAGACAATATGGTAGTTAATCAAGACGAAGGTATACATCCAGATAGTAAAACCTAATTTTGCATATATGCATGTAGGCCTACACTGTATTCAAATAATCGATTACCGCATATCCTACAATACCCATCGTTATGATAAAGTACAAACACATTTGTATAACTGCAACATGGGTGTTGTATAGGGTATAACTACACCCCAAGTAATTATTGTATCATGTCCATTTATTCAGTCAGCACGCCTACCTGTACTAGATTAGCTTGTATTGTTCAATTAAAAAATATAGGCAGATGGTCTGTGTTGCACACGTATTATGGCTGAACGCGCATAACGTTATTTGTAGCTCAACGTGGCGGCGTAGTTGTTTGTACAAATCCCTTAGATGCCGTTCGACAAACAGGCTTACGGGGATTATTTGGGATAGTATAGACATAACTCGGGTCCAAAGTCCATTGAACAGTTGCGTTTAGTATCTATCACCTGCCTCAGGCAACGGACAGAAATATTTCACGTTGTTATGTGCAACTAGACTTCTTGCTCTATACGCATGTGTAGTTGGCTGCTTTCGGGTGCATTCATGCGGTGGCCTAATAATGACCACATGAAGCTTACTAAAACCGTGTTTGAAATTTCCGGATTTTCGACTTTTTGCGATCATTGTTTTACATGAAATTTTACGGGAGAATATTTGAGTTAACGTGATAAGTCGCTTGACACTGCTTGTGCGACGAGAGTACGTGAGAAGGCGTGCCTAAAGACGGAGCCACGTGGACGTACCGCGCCATATAGCATCAGATACTTGTGCAGAGCGTGGCAAAACTTTAAAAAAAATCCATTAACGCCTGTGAAATAATAGTTGTGCTGTTGATAATAATTGTAAATTTAATTAAAATGCAAACTGTCGTCTCTAGTTTTGAGTGGTGTGTTACTGACTGTGGTATAGTGCTCTATTTATTGTGCTACTGACGTTGCTAATTTTGGTGAATTAAATACCTGCGTGATATTATGAAAAAATCACTTTTTCATGTTTGAATTTGTATACTTGTGTTCTAATTTGTGTAATTAAAAATGTATACATTCTCTATCCCATATCTATTGCTAAATCCACATTGCTATAACTAGGCACACTGAATACGCTTTTTCGTCGCAAACTATTAAATCGGCTACAATTACAATCCTTTCTATATCTTAGGTTCTGTGTCACAATAAGTGAAGCCATGCTATTCCTCGTGCAGAAGATGCAGAGGGAGAAGGGGCGATCAGTAACAACCAGCAGAACCAGCGTGAATTACTCGGAGGTAAGTCTGCTCTATGTATACCATGTTCAAAGATGTCACTCAAGTATTAGGAATAGAAATAAAATCTTTATGTATTGTTATTGCATCTATGCATTTCAAACGAAATGCATGGCCTATATTCGTCAATCTTCGCCATCATCCGGTGATAAGATTTATTTATACAGTATAACTATTTTGTTTTGCATCATTCTATTGAACGTCATTGGATCATGAATTGCCTATATAGAGAATCATCATTCAAAGGTAGTTTACATGTCAAATTCCGCACTCCCTGGTAGTATTTTGCATCCGTGGTAGTTGTTTGCCGTTAGGCTTTGATGGTTTTTCGGAGCAAATCGCTCTCTTTACTGCGATATCTGGCGCACATGCATTTGTTACTGCATCCTTGAATCTTTCTCGCAGTGGTTTCCTAAATGTAAAGCCTGCGCGCTTGAAGAGAGTTCGATGATCACTGGTGCATGCGTGTGTCGTGTGATTACCCGTATGCTCGCTGCGTTATTGCACAATGCTCACCTGGGTGCCAGTGTTGCACCCACTCATTCGCTCAGCTGGACAAGTGTTCTGTCTTGTTACGCATGCCAGCCGGGGATGATCGCCTCTCAGCGTTGTGTCTACGCACGTAAACATCTCTAGGTGTGGAATTATCACACTAGCTGTTCAGTCTCCTTGTCTCTTGGTATATATATATATATATATCTTGGTGTGTGGACGGGATGGGGTGGTGGTGGGGGTGGGGCGCAGCTAGCCAGCTTGGCGCGAAGATGCTACCAGCAGACAGTTATAGTATAATAATAACTAATCACAATGTGGGTCATTACATGTTTGGATCTTGCATGAATCTGTGGGATGTACGTGTTCTACAGATGTAGTAGAGTTGAAGCTGTTCAAGCTAAAAGCAAGGCAACCTTCACACGATGATGTTTTTTTCGCTCACTCTCCCCACCTCTCTCCTACTCGCGCTCTCTCTTCTCTCTCTGCTTTTCTCTCGCCCTCTCTATCTATCTTGCTCCTTATCTCCCTTTCTCTCGGTGGCTCGGTGTCTCTACGCGACAAATGTTATGTAAACAGCCTTGGGGGAACCACGGAACGGCAGTACGTGCTGGCAGAAGCAGTGAAAGTGGAACGGCCAGTCTGCTTGGCAAGTCTGCTTGGCAGTCTGCTTGGCAAGTCAGTCAGCCGAGGAACATTAACTCACACGCTCGTGCGAGCCTTTTGCACCGTCCGTCTGCTTGCGCGCGTTCACATCGTCTTGGTAACGCATCTGGTAGGCAGACGACCGCAGCTGCCGGCGGCCCCGCCTCGTGAGAGTGGACGGCGAGATTTTCGCGAAAGCGTTTGAGACTTATAGTGCTGTTATTATTTGTGCCGTTCTCTTGTACCCGCTGGTACAGGGAACCATGGGACATTCTATCCGAATGATGCTGTACAGGCAGACCCGCCTATTGACGGTAAGTGTGGAATAGTAAGTTAGTATCTTTGTTTTTGAGATGAACGGCATATAGAGCAGATCTCTGCGATCCGATAGGAAACCCATTAGATCCTAAAATTCTTCAGTTTGTTTTTGGAGGGTTTCTAATGGCTGTTGGTATTGGTCAGTGATGTGTGATTGAATTTGTATTAATCACTGATTTTTGAAGTCATTGGTTTTGATCATTGGTTCATGGTGATCCTGCTGTTGATAAATTATTCGTGAAGTCATTGGTATTGATTATTTATCCGTCTCGGTCATTGGTACTGATTATTTATTCATCTCGGTCCTGTTATTGTTAACCTATTATTATTAATGAAGTCGGTGGCATTGGCTATTGATCGCTGGTAGTCTCACTGTTGGAAAACGTAATGATTCGTAACGTCACTCGTAGTGACGATGTGTCCATGATGGTCCTGATATTGATCTCTGATTCCTGAAGTTATTAGTACTGATTATTGATCTATGGTGGTCACTGGTCCTGATATTGATCTCTGATTCGTGAAGTTATTTGTACTGAGTATTGATCTATGGTGGTCACTGGTCCTGATATTGATCTCTGATTCGTGAAGTTATTTGTACTGAGTATTGATCTATGGTGGTCACTGGTCCTGATATTGATCTCTGATTCGTGAAGTTATTTGTACTGAGTATTGATCTATGGTGGTCACTGGTCCTGATATTGATCTCTGATTCGTGAAGTAATTGTATCCCCCGCGACGAAGTTGGCGGGGATACTATGGTTTCATGTCTCCCCAGCCGCCGCCGCTCGGTCCGCCGCAGAGAATTTCCCTTCCGCTCTATAACTCGACCCCTAATTGACCTAGCGTGACCAAACTTGGTGTACTTACACATCTTGGGGAGAAGGTGTGCAGAGTACCAAAACCAGGTCACTGCGACCTTTATTTGACCTTTACATTGACCTTGATCATATTTTCCTTCCGCTCTCTAACTCGGCCCCTAATTTACCTAGCGCTACCAAACTTGGTATACTTACACATCTTGGGGAGAAGGTGAGGGCCGAGAGCCGAGGGCAGGCTTACGAGCTCGTTAGCCGAGCCGTGGGCGTTACGTCTGAAGGTCGTTGGTTCGAATCCCATCTGTTTATTTTTTTTTATTTTTCTATTTTTTATTTTATCCATTTAACTATTTTCTTCATATTAAGCAAAATATTTACATGATTTATTTACAATTTTTTATTACATTTTATTTTATTAATTAAATTTATTAGTGATAATTAAATTAATTAGTGTAGGGTTAGGGCTATGGTTAGGTTAGGGTTTAGGGAGTAGGCGTAGCCCGCAACCACCAGAACCATCAGCAGGCTGTATATTCATTCAACTTCGGAGATAGCCGAGTTCGTGCGTGACGTCAGTGTACGTGACGACCATACTTTTGTTCATGGAAACATATGCCGACCGTCTAGGCGTGAAAGGCTCAGTGCGCATGAATCGCTGCGTGCCCTGCTATAGACTGTAATGGCAAATTCAGACTAATCATTGGCATGCCCGTACATGCGGACTAGCACGTAAACGAGAAGGCGAGCCGCGCGCGTGGAGCTCGCTTGACCAGGCTAGAGAGGGAGCCGCGTTAGGTGGGAATAACCGAAGCAGGTAAGACAGGAGCAATATACGGCGTGACACCATAGATTCCTATAGATTGTAACTCTACCTACTATGAAGCCCCTAGCTCCTCTTGAAGAGCGAACCGCTACACAGGTAGCGATACTTTGAGGCATGATGGATTCACAACTGCTGGGCGGGCTCAGTCTACCATAGGACCGACCCTATTGCATACGTACATCGTTATGATGATGTTCGTAGCTTTAACCCATCAGTATGTACTTAATTGGGTCCTAAAGTAGACTTGTCCCGATTGAGCCGGTGTAGTGCGAATTTTTTTTTTATATGCGCGTGCATACTCGCGTATCCTTTCATGTGATGGTGGGTGCACGTGTATTGTGTGCGCGCGCGCACGGTGCGAGTATTATGTATGGTAGCGGTGATTCGTAAGCGTGTGCGTGCGCACTATGATGAGCGTGTGCGTGTGTGATCGTGTAAAATTGTTAGTGCGTTAAAATCGTGATATATTAGTGATGATTACGTGTGTGCGTGCGTGCTTGCGTGCGTGCGTGTGCGAGTACGTAGTCGCGTGCCCGTGTGTGTGTCCGTGAGTTTTTGCCTGTGTGCTGCTTGCTTGCATGCGTGCATGAGTACGTGTGCGGATGAGTGCGTGAGTGCGTGCTTTCTTTCTGCGCGCGTTTACCGTCACGTCACTTTCACTCTTACCCACTCGAATGTCATTAGCACAGCTTGCTTTTACGTGATGCCGTGGTGCAATTCAAAACGCGTCTAGATTTGTGCATTCCCGACATGTGCCTGCTGATTCCATGGCATGCATACACGCAATTCATAGCCTACGTACGACCTAGTAAGTAGCGGGCTGGCGTGTATGACGTCTGACTTTTGGTTTAGCATAAATTGTACGCAGTAATTGATCATATCGCGAGGCTCACTCGATAAAATACGTGCCTTGTTAGAAAGGGAGTAGCGCCATTTCTCAAGCGGCATTTAGACGTGATAGTAGACGGCTCCAAAGTCGTTTGCGTTCTCACGTTACCTCTCGTGCAAGCGTTTCTGGACGTTGGATCATTCTATAAAACAATAAACGTGGATACCCACGGAGACGTTTCCGAGTTCATTTGTTACTGACTGCTCTACTCCGTAGTGCTACTCCGTAGTGCTACAGACCTGATCATGTGAAATAACCTGTAAACCGGTAATACGTGAGCCTTTGTGGAGTAGTATCGATGTACAGTAGTGAGTCGTGTGCTACTGCACCCAGCTATGCATAATGTAGTAATAATAGTAAATACGCATCATGGTATCCATACTAAATGACATGACAAGTGTCAGTCCATGTTATTCGTGAGAGCATGCTAACGAAATTCCTTGTAGCAAAAAAGATTTCCTCTGTCTCTACCTGTAATCTAACAATAATGTTTTAATAACATAAGCCACAAGATCCTGCAATGATGTTTGACGGGGGGCAACATATTCTCGTCTTATATGATATTACGTTATTTTCGTTCGAAAGAAAGGTGTTTGTTATATTCACCCATATACTCCTTTCATAGAGTGATCTACTGAGCAGGAGCATACTGGAAGGAAATGCACCATATGTGAGCAAGCACGCAGAAGAACAGCGACATAGGTCATAACCTGGCAATGCTAACGTACATCTGAGGTATACTTGAACATGAATGATATATCGCTTCGATACACACAGTTTATTAGCATCCATGTCACCAATAAAGAGGTTCAGAGGTGATTTAGAAGGCAACAGGTCAGAAGTGAAAGCAGTGTGAAGTGCTTCTATGCAAAACAGCTAATTGATGAGAACAGGTCCTGATGTAATGAGGGGACTACATGTTAATGTAAACGAAATAAGATGTTAACGGTGAGAAGGAAGATGGTAGCGAATAGTTTGCACGTTAGGTCGATACATTACAGGGTGGGTGTTAGGTTGTTTA